TGGACGAGAGAGTGATACAGCACATGTGTGACGTGGCCTCGATGAGAGAGCGGCCTTGCATACTTTGGGCCATGCTATTGAGGACGATTGCGAAATAAACCCCAAACTTGACAGGCTGTTGGAGAGCCTCACCTGCTGATGGACGCGCGGCAACACAGCGCTCCGCCTGAGGCTCTGCCCGGAAGCTGTCCCAGGGTCGGCCGGGTCGCGTCGCTGCTTGCTCGCGCTGATGCAGCCGGGCAGTTGACGGTATTGTCTTGTCCCGGCATGAGGGCGTTCATTTTGGCGCGCGTGCGTGTGCGTATGTGCTGCTTCACGCAGGTGGTGCTTGCTGTTTGCCACCTCGAAACCACCCTACCTGGCCCCGAGGCCACTTCGGCTGCGGGTCGACGACCGCACGTCGCACCCACCCACGAGGCAGCCCGGCAGGCTGCAGCCGCGCCCACAGCGGCGCCCGCACTCCACACGCCGCGTCATTGAAGATGCCCACCCGTCTTTGCTGCCCCCACAACACAACATCCGCGACACGACACCACTGTGTTTGCTCTGGAGCGACCCCTGGCGCGAACTGTACTCAGGCGTTGGGCGTTCGTACGACATTCGCCCCTGCCCCGGCCCCCCGCTGCTTGAGGCGAAAGCCACCGCTGGTTTCATCGCGGGCGGCTGATGCACGGGTGGTTTCGGAGGGCTGTGCTTGCTTAATGAGGCGCGGTCTTTGTGGACGCCTCTGTCGTGCCGCCTGCGCCAATCGTCCGGCCGCTGCCGGTGCGACGCGCTGTTTCTGCCTGCGACCGGCGGCCCTGGCCCTTGAACCGGCCCGCATCGATCATCGCCGTCCTGGGCACCGCGCGCGGGGTTTTGCACCCACGTGAACCGCAGCAGCGCCGCACACCACCCTCACCCCCCCCCCCACTTCCTGCGACGCCTGTCGGTTGGCCGCAGGCCCTGCCTCATGCCACTTCGCCGACGCTGCACCCCTGTGCACGCGTGCATCTGTACCACCCGCGTTTTGCTGCCACGCAAACCAGTTTTGCAACCACTGTACACGTTGTCACACTTGTGGTTCGTAGGTAGGCGGCACCCTATCATACCCCTGAAATGTAAACATCACCTGCTGCCTCCACATGTACCCAGCAGTGCTGCCTCCTAGAATGCTGCTGGCAAGCTTTGCCGTGCCATGTCACGTCGCACGTTTTGTCATATGGGGGACGCGGCCTCTGCATGCCAGGGGCGTGCGCCCGTGCAAACACTCTGGGCCCCACCTCGGCGCGCTGCAGGCGGCGCGCGGCAGGCCTAGGACAACCTGAGCGGATGAGTTTGGCCACTCAGATAGTGTGCAATTGGGCGGTGGGCCCAAATGCCTAAACGCAAAGCCCTGAAGGCACCTGAAGGGGATGGAGCATGGCGGTGCCGGGCTGGACAGGTGGCTGTTGCTGTATGTGGCGCGAAGCTCAGCGTGCACATGGGGGCGCTTGCAAGTGGGACAGCAGAAGGCTGAGCGTTTAGGGCAATTGGAAGGGCTTGTAAGGCTGACATGACAGCGGGGCGGTGCTTGCGGAGTGCCAGTTGGGGCGACTGGCGCAGCGCAGAGCGCAGTGCACATCAGAGAGACACGGGTACATGGGAGCCAAGCTTGGGGGTAGAGTACGTCCTCAAACTCATATGCGACTCGTTTATATGCATACGGCTCCACAGCTCTGATCATCAGCCTGCTTCAGATCTGCGCTGTGGCACAATGCTCGTGGCCGTGCTCAATTGCGTGATCCAGGAGCTGCGTAGTCAGAGTGGGATGCGCGCTTCTAGTGCGCTTGTGCAGCTGCTACGTGCCTCACGAGCTGTGCAAATGGAGTTGGCAGCCGCTCAGCTTGGGGTGCCCTCGCCGGCGCACTGCTACGCCTCAGCCGCGTCCAGCGCCGATCGCTTGGCACCGCCTCCGTCCCAGCACCAGCTGCATCCGTCAAGGCGGCAGCCGGCCATCGGCATCGGCGCCGCAGCGCCAGCACTGCAGGCGTTCTCGGCGTTGCCCGGCACCTGCTGGGGCGCTGCACGCCCTCGGCTGTTTTCGACAGAAGAGCTCCGCATCCTGTGAGCAGCTGCGCTGCACCCCAGCCCCTATCGGACCACCTCAACGGGCAGCAAGCGCACGCGCGCGCCAGCAGCAGCAGGCCCGCCGCGCTGCGCGCCTCGGCAGGCGCGCGCCTCTCGTCCTGCCCGCCGACCGCGCCGCCGCGCCTCGTGCTGCCTCACCCTGTGCCGCAGCCATCCTGATTTGTCAGAGGGCCAGTTCCACAAAATCGCAGACGCAGCCCTGGACCACCTGCAAGAACACTTGGAGGTGAGACAACCAAAATATCCCACGACCCATACACCAAATATCCATCCACACAGCACAGTCACCCAAACAACGCCGCTGGGGAAGGAGACCGGGGTGTTGCAGTGCGCACGCAGCCGCAGCAGTCCCCATCGGCCAGCAGCCTGGCTATCCGTGCAACGAAGCGCCCGCCCGCAGCTGTGAGCTGCTCCGCCCCAAGCGGCCCAGATCCGATCTGGGTGCAAGGGCCGCCGCACCTGGCCGCCTCCGACGCCACTGTTGCGGCTTGCACATACCCTCAGCAAACAGCTGCACGACGCCTATGTGACAGGCACCTCGCCACGCCCTGAGGGCGCCCACATGCCGCGTCCGCTGCCTGGCTGCCGCAGGCGTTTGTGGAGGACCAGGACGTTGAGGGCGGCGACGTGGAGTACGCGGTGAGGCCGGGGCGGCAGGCGGGACGCCGGGGCCCAGGGACGGGTGCTGCCGCGCGTGGGGCGCCGCAGGGGCCATGGGAGAGCGCTGGGGGGCCGAAAACGTCGCCTGTGCACGGGGCGGCCGGCGCGGGGGAGCAGGTGCTCTTCGTAAGCACTGTCTTGGCTCTCAAACCTCCTGCGCTGTCACCTGGACTGCACCTCACGCGGACCAGTCTGGTGTGCTGACTGTGCGGCTGGGGCGCCACGGGACTTACGTTATCAACAAGCAGACGCCCAACCGGCAGATCTGGCTGTCGTCTCCCGTCAGGTGCGAGCACGGCACGCTTTCATTCTGTGCTTCCGCCAGCAACTTTGCATGCGAATTGCTGCGTTTTGCGCAGCCAAGTGCCCGTGCTGCTGCGGTGGAGCATCGAATCTCTGGCCAGGCTTGCCAGCTTGTTGCCCCCATGTGTCTGCACGCGAACCCCGTTGCGCACACAGCCCAGTTGCACAGAAATGCGCACACTCGCAAACTCAAAAGCAGAATCGCGTGCAAGCGCGCACACACATACACGCGCGTGCGCACGCGCGCACACACACATACACACGCACACACGCACGCACATACATACGACCACACGCTAAGCAGCAAACATGCACCTTCACTTACACGGGCACTCACTCCACACACACTCTCGCGACCCCCGCAGCGGCCCCTTTCGCTACGACTTTGCCGGCGAAGGACGCTGGGTCTACTCTAGGGATGGCCGAGAGCTGCATGAGCAGCTGGAGGGCGAGCTGGCGCAGCTGCTGGGGGCGTCACCCGGCCTCACCGCGCCGCAGCACTAGAGCCGGGAGGGGGACGAGGCAGGACGCCGCGCGGGCGCGGGCGCGCGGCCAAAGGGCCCCCCCGCTGTTTTGTCAATTGCAACTGCGAGTCTTTTGTCTTGCAGTCGTACTTTTCAAGAAGACTGGCACATGAGGGCTGCCATGCTGTGCAGACGCCTATCCGAGCAAGCTTGTCTGCGGCGGCGTCAATTTTACATGCTTCCTGTGCAGGTGCAGTCGCTGTGCATGCAGTTGCTCTGTGCTGCACCCCGGGTGACTTCAAGTCTATAAAGTTAGTCATGCTTTTGGGGTCCATCAACGGCAGCCCTGGGAGGGCGCAGCGCGATCAACCATCACACTCGTGAGGGCAATCGCGTGATGCATCGGGGTCTGGCCCTGGGGGCTGGCCCCGGTCACCCGTGGCAGTGGAAACACATGCAGGGCGCGTGCGCGGCGCCCATCCATCGCGGCAGCGACCTGACAACGCCCGGGCGGAGCAGCGTGATTGAGTTGGGCATGATCGAGGCTGAGACGCGAAAATTTGCAAAATCGGCGGCGCCGTGGGGGCGCGCCGCATTCACCAAGCAAGCGCAGGCAGGCCGACAACAGATGTGGAGCGAATGGGGTCGAAGCGCCCGCGCGCAGGACACGTGTTGATGGTGCATGACGCACCACTGGGTGTCGCGTGTCCGCAAAGTAGTAGTGACCACAGCAGACAAGGCAGTCAGTGATATGTGGCCGTTGAAGGAAAGTGTGTGTCGTGGTGCGGCTGTCCGCCGCAGAAGTGCGCAGCAACTCTGGAAAGCTGAGCCCCCCCCCCCCTCGTGCAGCCATTTTGTGATGGCGGGTGGCGATGACGGCCCCATATCACACGCAGGCAGCGGGCGGCACAGCCACACACGGCACAGCCGCACATCAACGAAAGTGTGGAGCGGGCAGTCTTTAGTGGGGGAACAGGGACCGGCAGCGGAGAGCGCACACCGGCCTCGCCAGGCCCCCCTGCTGCGGGAGTGACGAGGCACTCACTTGACAAAGAGCTCATGCCCCTTCCTCTTTATGCAATGCAGGTGCAACCAATGCAAAGCATGCTGCGCAACCAAGCAGGCACAGCGCAGTGCATTTGACCGTGCGCAGCGTGCGCGTGTAGCAACACAAATGTTGGGCGTCCGGGTTTGCACCGGTGGCGCCTGTGCAAGCGCATGCGCACATGCAGGCAGCGCAGCGCTGCCGCGATATGCTGCCCTTCTCACACCTGAGTTTCAGAAACCTGGATCATACATTAAAAGCAAATGCGCACGTCAGCGAACGTCGCGCACGTCACGCGCACGTCAGCGAACGCCGCCACTGTGCATTTGGCAACGGGCACCGTGCACACTCGCGCCCGCAGCTGCCGCCGCCGCCTCTGCGGCGCCGCGGGCGTGCTTGAGCGCCTCATTCACCGTGCATTACGCACCCGCGGCCCATGGCGTAGTCTCCGTCGGCACGTCCATTGGCCGCGGCTGCGGCCGCGGCCTAAGTGCGGAGACCTCTGGCAGCTCGCCCATGCCCAGCTGGAACGTCGTGTCCAGGTTGGGATGCACCGTGTCCGCGAGGCCGGCCTCAAACCCCACCGCCGCCGCGCGCGCGGGCGGCGCGTCGCCGGCGGCGGCGAGGCCGATCGCCCCGCGCGTCGTCTGGGCGCCGAATAGGGTGGCCTCGGGGCGCGCCTGGGGCGCGAGCTGGCCGAGAAGGCGCTTCCTGAGGGGCATACCGGCGCGCATCTTGTAAGCATCGAAGGGGTCGGCGATGGTCGCGTGCTCGGCAGTCAGGTGGCCCGTGTAGGTCGCCTCCCAGGGCGTCATCTCCCTGGGATGTTTTCGGATTGGGGGGCAGTGGTTGTGATGTTGGGGATGACGTATGGGTTGCACCGCCGCGCGGCAAAGCACCAGAGGGCAGGTTGGGGAAAGAGCTCGGCTGGCGGGCTGGGCTGATGTGCGTGTTGGGCGGGGGCGATCAACGAATGAACCTGAGAGGTTGCAGCGAGCATGGACAGGTGAGTCAACAATCCACACCCTGCAACGCATCCGTACCCAAAGCAGAAGAGGAAATGTTTTGTCTCACCTGGCGGCGGCCTTTTGCAGGGCGACCTGCGCCTGGTCGAGGGCAAAGCCGCTGAGCATCCCGGGGTCGTGCGCCCTCTCTCCCAGGAAGCGGCGGGGCATGCCGGCGGCCAGGCGCGAGAGCGCGAGGTTGTCGCCCTGGGAGTCGACGACGGCCGCCCGTTGATTTGCGATGGCGGCGTCGGCGGGGCGGGCGAGGCTGCAGGGGGGGGGGAGGCGTGGAGGATGCAGAGCATTATGTCAAGGGG